AATGCCAGGGAAGTTAAAACTGGTAGCTCGGCCCAAAGGGGTATGCAGCAACACAAGTCTTTGTGCGACTAATTCAAATGTCACTCCATTTAACGATCATTATTACAGGCATAAATATGGTTCAGGAGGGGCCTACTTTACCTCCCAGTAGGTTGCCATCATCGATAGATGTGCACATGTGGTACACAGGAGATCACTTCTGGCTGCAGTAATTATGAAACAAGGCTGGGACAGAATTTATTAATGCAGTATATGAAGGAAGGAGGAGGTTGGGGGTGAACAGGAGGGTCAGAGAACACCGAACCTTCCCACAGGAGAGTGGTGTTAGAATCCAGCGTGAAATGTTGTATTTTGTGTCCATGACCATTTTAACCCAAGCTACGTGTTTCTGTAAACCAAACCATGTATTTTCTGTGTGTAAACCTAACGATGTACATAAACCAGGAAGGCACCATAACCACAACAGAGAAAGTCTATAATAATGACCTATGGAACACGTTAGTAGGTGAGTAGAGACCTACTGAGTCATAAATATGTTGCAATAACAAGTTGAAACGGGCCACCAAAGGCAGGTGTTGTGTGTGTGGCGCAATCAGAGCATAGTAGCACAATATATATATATTTTTTGTTCAAGGGGGATTTGTCGTGTTTTTCCCTCTATGATATTTAGAATACTAAGGTAAAGTAATACTTTGTAAAGTGTCCTGATATGGCTTTTATTTGTATAGTGCCAAATCTCAGCAAAATTGTAGTGAAATTGAACTGAATTGTTTCACTGTAACCTTGAAAATTGGACTTGATTTAAATTGTTTACATCTATACTGGGTATCCCAATTTTAGGAAGAATCATCAGAACAATCATCATAAACATACACAGTAACCAAGGAGGGTTTACAGCCAAACAGTGGCATGTTCCTTACTGGCTCATTCAGTTGCATGACTCCAGTCCAATGTGTAATGTGTTTCACTAATGAAAGCTCTAAATTGAAAGGAATTGTTGACCTTTGTATTTGGCTGACTGAAGACGACTCAGGACACAAGAGTTTCCCAGTTCATGTGAACATTGCACATACTAAAGCATCATAATATAGTACAATCTTCATAAAGAATCACATGGGATTTAACTGTATATATTGTGGCAAGAGACATTCCTGGTATCTACCTTTTAATTCTAGCCTGCTCTGATTACCTGGAAAGACGTGGCTAAATTTGTTTAGCACCTTAAACAGAGGCTAAAATGCAGGCTTTGAAATGCCATGGCATGTTGTACAGCCTAAGAGAATGGTTATGTTTGAAATTTATACAGCAGTCTTGAATGTTTCGGCTATTCCTGGCATATGACCAGTCACGAATGACCACCTGCTGCTGCATGCAACACATATAAATGGTGGAATCCTAAACTCATGTTAAGCAAAATTACTAACATAAGTGAACACAAAAATTATTCTGAAGTCATGATAATTACAGTAAAGGCTCATCAGCGCATCACCAGTGAAGAAACATGTGCCTACTGATGTCTGCGACTCAGACACATGACCTTGAGTCCACTTGCATTTTGCCAGTTAAACACTGGATAGTTTCCCAAGCCGCATCGTTGTGTACAGCATCAGCATGACAGGGTGTAAACTTTACAAACAGAGTCTGGTTTCAAAATGCTGCAACCAAAGAACTGTGATGAAAGGTGAAGTGAGTGGTAGACAGGAAGGACAGCCAGGCAGCTCAAAGCAGGGCAGCTTGCCTCGTGCCTTCTCGGCTTCTCAGTGGAGCTGGCAAAACAACTTCTAAAGGAGGGACAGGTTCAACCTCCTCTGTCCTGCCAACAGCTGAACATTTAGTCATGCTGGATGGCAGGAAGACACTCTGAGGTGCACTAGGATGTTATCACTGAAGGATGACCAGGACGTTTCTACTGTGTCTGTGTGGAAACCTGATGCTTTAAGATCACATGAACAAACACATCAAAGTGTGGCTGTCACAGATAAAATATGAGACTCACGCATAAAGGGTTTAGTGTGGAGTGGCTGCTCCCCACCCCCAGTAATTTCCAATCCACCATCTGTGATAACTGTGTTGAAACCCAGACTGAAAGTGAGGTTCAGTTGTTTGAAACAGATTTCTGCACTTTTATTAATGCACATGACTGGACTGTGCTTCTGAGAAGCAAAGAAACCCTACCTAAGCTTAAGGGAATGGAAAAACAAAATGGAAAAATAAAACGGTGCACTCCCTTCTGTGTTGTGCGTCGGTGTTGTTTTCTCAAGAACCAGTTTGTTTCCACTTTGGGGCAGATGCTTGCAGCAGGGCAGGTAGGTAATGACACCTGATTCCACCTGCTGGGTCAAAGTCGCTCTCTGCCAGCAGATTCCTCCTCCTTCCATTTAGCACAGTCCCACACCCATTTGGAAACGGATGGAGCCACACACCCATACACACACACTGGAACACTGCAGCACAAGTACGCTACATGCTGCCGAACGGCTGGTGGTAACAGCCCAGCTTTTTGGATACTTCTAGAGATTAACAACCTCTATTCTAACATTCAACAGGACTTGTTCCAGAGCCAGAAAAAACTAAATCATTGTTTTCTCACAAAAGGAGGAGTTTTTTTTTTTTTTGACCACAAACAGGCTCCCAGATTAGTGTTATAAGACACAGTAGCTGTGTAGAGCTTGGTATAAATTGAGGTAGACTGAAAACCCTTTTAAGGCTCCTCCAGACAGGTTTTAAGTCATTCAAATACTCTAAATATTACTATCAACAAAAAAGAAAACTCCATTTCCTTGATTTGATTTGATTTTGATTTGATTTATTCTTTCAAGCATATAAAACAGTTGTTAAAAATTCAAAGAAGCACATGCTCTTCCTTTTGCCAGAAGAGTCAGTTTTCAGTATATATGCACTCAGGTTTACACATCACACTGGTCTAAGTTTCATATTGGTCCACAACTGGCTTCCAAGCTGGTTCAAACAAGTTCTTAAATCCAGCCTGTGTGTACAAGTCTTAAAGGTGAGCACAGGTGTGCAGCTATCTGCATACATTATTCTGTACAGAGAAGGTCAAACATCCAAGGAAGTACCAACAAGGAAAGTGGAAGAGAACTTGAAATAGAATCATAACAATGTCTCACTTTCACCCTCCTATAAAGAAGGTGTTACTTCTAGTGACTGATGACCCATAGATGTGGCAAAAAAAAAAAGTTTTAGTATGAAAAACGTGCTGATACGAACACTCCTTGAGAAACGTGAATGATTCATGAAGTCTCCTGAGCTGAAAAAGCCACAACTTGAGCAAAAAGGTGTAAACAATTCAGTGTTCTGTAGCCCTCAGTGTTGACAGGAGGACAAGAGCCAAGCACTGGACACCTCCTCAGCAAGCGTGTGCTTGACAGGGCAGTGCGACTGTAATAGATTTGAAGTTCTTCACTTCGAGCTGGAGAGTGTTGAATCACCATGGAAACCGAGATGGCCATTTGGCAGGTTTGAGCTTCTTTTGGTTTGAAACACTCTTCAGTTTGAGGACCTCAGCTACAGTGATGCTTCGCTCATGCTTATGAAAAACCTTCATTTGCACACTGCTGTTTCTGATCATCCTCTGTTCTTCCCTTCTTCTCCCCCAGCTCAGTAAGGCAATCACAGCCCTGCGGTGCAAGTGTGTCTTAGCTATTGCAGATAAAGGCTGGGAGATTGTCAGTAATGACAGGTCCACCAGTGCTGAAACTTCACAGAGCTGCTTGTTTCAGCAGTAATTAACGATGGGGGAATGGTGCACCATGACTGGCTCTAAAAAGCTTACAAAAGCTTTTGCTTGTGATGCCATGTCAACTTTTTTACGGTAGACAAGTCAGTCAAATAAGTAAAAAAGGGGACTTAAAAGCTAAACAAAGTGTGTGAAACAAAAAGGCAGACAGCAGAGGCAGCAGGCTCGGCGCAGAGATGT